AAAAAAAAAAAAAGGTATTGTCATGGGTGGAGATATCACCAAGGATGATAACTCCAGGCAGCAGAGGGAGACAGTCTGCTGAAAGGACCTGAGACAGGCTTTGTCTGTATAGTTCATCCTCTTCTGTGTATTTCCAGACTGTGACAGGAAAGCATGGAGTCATTTGTTGCCCACCTCAGTTAGACAAAAAAGAGGTGAGATTAGCAGTAAAAGTGGAAGTACAGAACATAAAGTCATGGATGATGGCAAGTAGGAAAGAATTTATGAGAAAATAATGAGTTAAAATCATAGTTGCAGATGGGTGGTGCTGGTACAAGCCTTTAATCTCAGGACTTGGGAAACAGAGGCAGGCAGATCTATATGAGTTTGAGGCTAGCCTGGTCTACATAGCAAGTTCCAGGACAACCTGGGCTATACAGAGAAACCCTGCCTGGGTAGGGGAAGAATCATAGTTATAAATTGAGAAAATGATAGAAAAGATAAAACTCCACTAGTTGAGTAGATTTCCCAATGAGATTTTATTCTGACACACTCCAGGAAAAGCACAAGAGTAGAGAGAGTGGTCTGAAAAGCAAGACTAGAAAAGAGATTTTTTTAAAAAGTGTAACTCTTCAGAAAAGGAAATCAATTTTGTGGGGAAAATGATTAATCTCAGTGCTTCCCCCAACGTCAAACTTCCCACAGTTTAGAGGCAAAAGCCAAAGGAACTGTAATAAGAGCCACAGTTAGGGTGCAAGAGGAAGTGACCTGGAAAGTGACCCAGGAGAGGTGGATAATGGGAGCACTGCCCGCCTCTGTGGGAAGTTAGCTTGCTGATGGATTGAGCCCACGGGCTACGCTGCTCTTTTCCAGGTACATCTGCAACAAAGAGGCATTTCACTTCCTTTGGGGCCTGGACGAAGTATAAATTGCGCGGGCCGAGTTTGAAACAGAGCGTCCCTCCACCCACGAGGTCTTACGCCCACAGGCTAAGAGAAGGGCGGTGACCACAGACAGGTGTCTGGACACAGGAAGCTGCAGACCTCAGTGATCTAGAGAGGCTCGCGGTGCTGCAGCTGCTGGCTGACAGTGACTAGCTTCAGGAAGAGACCAGTCCAGTAAGGCACGGGCATCTCCTCCTAGAGGTCCTTGATGCATTGCTGGTCTTCAAGGGAGGGTGTGTGTGCCAAGCACACGGCTTGTGGTGGACAGGAGGCCTTATGGCCACCGGTGCGGGCAGAGCCACCATGGCAGTACAGGGGCCAACCTGGACGTGGTGATGGGTTACTGTCAAGCTCTGGAAACATGGTGTGGTGCCAGTGGCCTCTGGAATAGCTAAGGCTCAAAGCCTGGGTCAGCCTGATGAACTGCACATTGGTGTCCAGATGGGTGTCCTCTGGGCTATACGAGGCTCCGTGGAGTCCAGGCTTCTCTACGCTGTGGATTCTTGCAACCCCCCAGCCTTCAAAGGCTAGCTGCACGCCTCTGCTGGGGGTTTCCAAAGAGATTGACTTGGGGGTCTCCTTCAGGTTCCCTGGACGTTTTGCTTTGTGCCTGCTTTTCTCACTGGAACACTTGCCAGAGTGTCCTCTACCCTTTCCTATCATCCAAACCTGCCCTGTATTCTGGCAGCTCTTCTCCACTGTCTTTGTTTAGTTTAATTTTCGGTTGTTATTAAATTTTCCTGTGACTTCATTCCCAGCTCTGCCTAAGTGTAGATGTTTTACTAATGCTAGCAACTTAGTAATTGTGCAAAAATACTTAATGGTAGTGGTGGTGTTGATCCAAATGTAGAAGAGTAATTACTACAAGCTGAGAAGGTGCGTGTGTGCCTGTGTGTGTGTCTGTGTGTGTGTGTGTGTCTGTGTGTCTGTGTGAATAAAAGGAGGTTGGAAACATCATTCTGCATTGATTTAATAATAGGTATATACTAATTAAATTATGTTTAAACTGTAAGACACAGTGGAATATCAACCATTAATTAGAAAACTTTGCTGAGTCAGGCACACAGCTGTGAGTACTGGTGTCAGCCCCAGCCTGGGAACAGCAGCATCCAGACTGTGCTGAATAAGTTCAGTCCTTCCTGGACTCATGAGTGTTTTGATGAGTTTGCCCCAGAATGAGCACCATAAAGGCATCTCCAGGCCCTAGAAAAGATAAGGTGTATATTCTGGCAACCCATGGGTTGATCTCCAACAGTAGCAAACAAATAAAAAATTGAGTTGGAGACAAGGAATTGGTCCCCTCCGCGAAGACATTTCTCTTCTGCTAAGGAGGATACCATTAGGATCCATTCTTCAGCAGCTGGGCAGCTGTGGAAGCATCTATGAGGTTATGCTCCACTGTATTAAAACCATTATTTGACTCAATTTTGAGCCACACCAAAATGCATATGGTGCCTGGGAGCCCAGCTGTGTAGCCAGCGATTGCTGTGGAGTTACTCTTCTTCCAGCCAGCAGCCTCGGCTTCAAGACACTGCCCTGATTCCAGCTAATGCAAAGTCCAGGCACAAATTTTGCCTTCCCAATAGGCTGCCCTCTTCCTTCCCATCCTTCTTCAAGAAAGGTCTCTCTTAGCCCCGAGCTGCCTCCTTTCTCTACCCCTCTTTCTGACCCCTCTGTTCTGTCCCATTTAGCATGTGGACCTTCCTAGGGAGACCTGAATGCATTCTATGCCTGTCTTCTGCCTTATCCGCAATGGCTCTGCAAAAACAGAAAGAATTACCCAGGTACGTATGCTTCAGACTGCTGCAGAGGTTCCATTTAAGATGTACCAAAGGGCCCCCAAGGGAAAAGCTTTAAAAAAATCTGTGTGTGTGCATTTACACACATGCACATGATGGATATATGTGCGTTTGTGTGCGTGTGCTGTGGTGCATGTGTGGAGGTCAGAGGACAACTTCGGATGTTAGTCTTTGATTTCCACCTTGTTTGAGACAGGGGCTCTCTTGTTCACTACCACTTCCATGGATCCTCCTGTCTCTGCCTCCTGTTTCCCCCTAAGGGTGATGGGATTAGATACATGCACTATCACATTGGACACGTCTGGCCTTTTCCTGGATTCTGGGAATCTGTAAGCACTTTACACCTTGAGCCCTGTCTGTAGCTCCTTTGTCTTCCTTTTCCTCCCTTCCTTTCCTCTGCTTTCCTCCCCTCCTCTCCTCTCTTTCTTTAGAAACAGGGTGGGCTTTATATCCCACTGACTGGCCTTGCACTCCTGGCTTACCGAGCTGTGCCCTATACCTTCTTGTCCTTGCAGGCTTAATCAAACTCACTTGACCCCCTTGTTGCTGGCGACTCGACGGGTAGGTCTGAAAGTTGAGAGATCACAGTTCACACTGGAAGGTTTCCCATTCCGGATCATATCTGGCACTATTGACTACTTCCGGATACCTAGGCAGAAATGGAGAGTCAGCTTGAGGAAGATGCGGGATGGTGGCTTCAATACCCTCACCACGTAAGTTGTTGCTTCTGGATCGTGTATAAGAATTTTTTCACTGAATCCTACCAGAGACTTCATTTGAACGGTCATTTAAAAAATTATTATTAAAAAAGATATTAGCCAGGCGATGGTGGCACACGCCTTTAATTCCAGCACTCGGGAGGCAGAGCCAGGTGGATCTCTGTGAGTTCAAGGCCAGCCTCGGCTACAGAGGGAGATCCAGGACAAGCACCAAAACTACACAGAGAAACCCTGTCTTGAAAAACCAAAAAAAAAAAAAAAAAAAAAGAAAAGGAATAAATATATTTGTTAGCTAAGTTATTAGTCAGTGTTTTCTAAAGGAACAGAAAAAAATATATATGGCATTTATTAGAGTCGTTTACTGCAGTCTGAGTAGTATGTCTCCTGATCGAAAGGTCAAAGATCTGGTAATTGTTCAGTCCATGAAACTGGGTGTCTCAGTAGCCCCAATCTGGTGCTGGAGTCCCACAGAAGTTCTAGAGAGCTGCTGGTCTTCAGTCTGCACTGGAGTCCGGTAGAAGCAGGTTCTAGTACCAGCAAGGTTGCCAGTGAGAGTGAGGGCAAGCAGGCAAAAGTCAAAAGCTTCCTTCTCCCATGTCATTTTGTATGGGCTGTCCAGATTTGAGAGTGGGTCTTCTGTCCTCAGATAACCCAGATTTGAGGTGGGTCTTCTGTCTTCAGTTGATCTACATTTGAGGCAGGTCTTCCCACTGCAAATGATCCAACTAAGAGAATCCCTCACAGGCATGCCCAGCTGCTTGAGTTTAAGTTAATTCCACAGTTAATCAACTGTGGTGGTTTGAAAGAAAATGGCTCCCAAAGAGAGTGGCACTATTAAGAGGTGTGGCCTTGTCCGAGGAAGTGTGTCACTGTGGAGGCGGGCTTTGAGGTCTCATATGTGCTCAAGCCACACTCAGTGTCTAAGACCACTTCCTGTGGCCTGTGCAAGATGTAGAACTCTCAGCTACCTCTCCAGCATCATGCCTGCCTGCCTGCCTGCCTGCTTCCTACCATGATGATAATAGACTAAACCTCTGAACTTCAAGCCAGCCCCAATTAAAAGTTTTCCTTTAGCGGGGCGGTGGTGGCAGCGCACGCCTTTAATCCCAGTAATCAGGAGGCAGAGGCAGGTGGATTTCTGTGAGTTTGAGGCCTGCCTGGGCTACAGAGTGAGTTCCAGGAAAGGCGCAAAGCTACACAGAGAAACCCTGTCTCGAAACCCCGCCCCCCCCCCCCAAAAAAGTTTTCCTTTATACAAGTTGCTGTGGTCATGGTATCTCTTCACAGCAATAGAAACCCTAACTGAGACAGTGAATTCAGTGAAACTGTCTCCTTGGAGCTTTTGCTGAGAACAGAATGCTCTGAGTGCATGTCAAGCTTGTGGAATAGGCCTATAATCTCAATATTTAGGAGGTAGAGGCAGGAGGATTTTTTAACGCCAGCCCCAGTAACATAGAAAATTGAAGCTAGCCTAGGCTACATAATATTTGTCAATAAAACAAAACAAAAATAACAACCAACCAACCAATCAACAACCAAAAAAGCACCACCCAAATAACAACTAACCAAAAAGGTGTGCCATATGTTTAGGATGTCTTGAGTACCCGTTTGCTACCATGACACAGGTTTGAATGGCTTTGTCCTCCATGTGAAAGTAGAGAGCAGGTTAGAGGCAGACTCTTTTTGACTCTGGCTAGGATTCAGTGAAACAGTCTCCTTGGAGCTTTTGCTGAGAACAGAATGCTCTGAGTGCGTGTCAAATGGTCACTGTCTCCCTCTCCAGTAGGAAGCAGAAGGGAAGGCTCCTCAGCTCTCTACAGTGAGAACTTAGGATTCAGGAGGTAAACATCACGAAAATGTGGGGTCCACACCCCCACAAGCCTCTCCCTATTGCAGCATTTTTAAACCAAGATTATCTGCACCGAATCTCAGCTCATGAGCTGCAGTTGGGGCATTCTTTAAGCAATGCTGGCACCAGCAAAGGCTTCCCTTTGTGAGGTGAGGCCTAGCTCCTGGTAGGCTGTGGCTCTCTGTATCCTCTGTGCTAGTCAAGTGTCTCCTGGAGAGCACAGTCAGCAGGTGTCTTAGGGTTTCTATCGCTGGGATGAAACACCGGGACCAAAAAGCAAGTTGGGGAGGAAAAAGTCTATTTGGCTTACACTTCAGCATTGCTGTTCATCACTGAAGGAAATCAGGACAGAAACTCAAACAGGGCAGGATCTTGGAAGCAGGAGCTGATGCAGAGGCCATGGAGGGGAGGTACTTACTGGCTTGTTCCAGTTTCGGAGGTTCAGTCCATTATCATCATGACAGGGAGTATGGCGGCATGCAGGCAGATGTGGTGCTGAGGCTGAGAGTGCTACATCTTGCAGGCAACAGGAAGTTGACTGATAGTCACGCTGAGGGAAGCTTGAGCAAAAGAGATCCCCCCCACACACACACAGTGACACACTTCCTCCAACAAGGCCACACCTTCTAATAGTGCCACTCCCTTTGGGGGCCATTTCTTTCAACCCACCACAGCAGGTAAAAGAGTGATGATAAAGAATTGCTCATACAGTTACTGGGGATGAGAAGTCTCCACTGCTATAGGCTTGAGGCTTAAGAACAAGACGTCTGATGGCAAAAGTTCCAGTTCAAAAGCAGGAAGGGTCAAAACCAAATGACAAGAGCTGAAAGCAGCGATACACACCCATGAGCCTGACCCGTGGGAGGCTGAGTCAGGAGGATCACACATTTGAGGCCAGTCTGGGATATACAGTGAGACCCTGTCACAAAACAAAACTCAAGAACAAAACTGAAAGATTGTTTTGGAGACTCACCCAGATGGCCACATACTGTTTTTTTTTTTCATTGACAAAATCATACGGGATTCCAACGATAATCACACTATAATATTTTTATCTTGTGTGTGTATAATATTAATATAAGTATGTAAAATAATACATATAAAATATATGTTCAACATGTATATGAAATACACACACACACACATATATGAAATGTTGCAGATAAAAAGAAATAGAATGAATATGACAAAGAGATGTTAAAGTAACTCACAGACAGTATGAAAAGTTGTATGCCAGAACTGGGGGCCTGCAGTAAACAGGCCTGCAGAGGTCAGAAGAGGACCCCTGGAACTGAGGTTGTGGATGGCTGTAGGTGCTGGGAATCAAACCTGGGTCCTCTGCAGGAGCAACAGTGCTTAACTGCTGAGCCATCTCTCCAGCCCCTGTGTTGAGATTATTGAGGTAGATTCTGTATATAGTTTATTGGTTTCATCAAATTTGGAACATTTTGACTGTTTTTTTTTTCAAGTATATTTTGCTCTTCTCCTTGCTACAGGGCTCCAGTGACTTGTATGCTGGAGTTCTTGACCAGATCTCACATGCGCACATCCCATAGTGCTCTCTTTATTCCGTCTTCTATTTTAGTCTATTGTCGTTTAAGATAGTTTCTTTCATTATATCTTCTTTTCTTTTCTTTTTCTTTCTTTCTTTTTTTTTGAGACAGGGTTTCTCTGTGTAGCTCTGGTTGTCCTAGAGCTTGCTCTGTAGACCAGGCTGGCCTTGAACTCAGAAATCTGCCTGCCTCTGCCTCCCGAGTGCTGGGATTAAAGGCGTGCACCACAATGTCCAGCTCTTTCATTATATTTTAAAAACCCACCACTGGCCTTTTATTCTAGGTGTCTACTCTATTGTTTGTTCCAACTTGCATATTTCATTTCTTTTTCTCCATTGCACCCCAAACATCTATCATTTCACACAAACACACACACACACACACACACACACACACACACACACACACACACACACACACACCACTGAACTAGGTACAAGCCCTTTTGACTTTTTATTTTGAGACCAGGTCTTGCTAAATTGCTGAAGCTATCCTTGAACTCTCTACCAGAATTAGTCACTGAACTTTGTATCCCCTCCCCTCATCATCCTTAGCAGGAATTAAGGACATGTGTCACCAGGCCTGGGTTTTTTTTTGTTTTTAACAGATTCTCACTATGTAGCCTAGGCTGCCCTCAAACTTGTGAGTCTCCCGCTTCAGCCCCCAAAGTGATGGTATTCCAGGCATGTACCACCACACCCAACAGTTTCTGTTTGTTCTTTTCCAGCACAGGACTTCCTGTATAGCCAGCTGGTCTTACGCTGGCGATGCCCCTGTGTCAGCCTCCTCAGTGCTTGGAATGCAGGTGTCCACACTGGAGGCTTCACTGCTGAAACTTTCAGCTTCCTCCAAGTAGAGAGAAGCTTGTTTCTATGTTACAAGTGGAGGAGTCAGTGCAGAAGAAGCGCACCATAGGGGAGCTTCTTACGCTTTTCTTTTTCCGCATGACAGGCATGTCCCTTGGAATCTCCACGAGCCAGCAGTGGGCCAGTTTCATTTCATTGGAAACCTGGACCTCATGTACGTGCTTATACTTTAGTTACATGATTCTGAGATTCAGAGAAGGATGTACCCGGGGGATTGGATGTATCGCTCTGCCTTTTGGTTCTTGCCTTTTTGTTGCTGTTTTGAGGCAGGGTCTCACCATATAACCCTAGATGGCCTGGAATTATCTATGCAGACCAGGCTGGCTGCACACTCACAGAGGTCTGCTCGCCTCTGCTTCCTTACTGCTGGAATTAAAGTTGTGTGCCACTGATTCCCAGCCTCTAATTCTGCCTTGCTAGCCAGCCAAAAGCTCTAATAACTTTTTGCTTGCTATCCTGGGAACCAGATGGTTGAAATACGGATTCATGGCTCCAGTGAATCCCTTGTAAGTTGTCAGCAGCTTCATTTTTGGATCCTTGAGTAACCAGCTATGATTGAAAAGGAAGGAAGGAAGGAAGGAGGGAGGGAGAAAGGGAGGGAGGGAGGAAGGGAGGGGAGGAGGGAGGGAAGGAAGGGAGGGAAAAAGGGAGGGAGGGAGGAAGGGAGGGGAGGAGGGAGGGAAGGAAGGAAGGGAGGAAGGAAGGAAGGAAGGAAGGAAGGAAGGAAGGCAGGAGGGAAGGAGGGAGGGAGGAAAGGAGAGAGGGACAGCCATCATGCCAAGCCCCTGCTTTGGGGGGTAATGTTACTGTGACTGCTTTTTTTCCAGAACTTTTATCACCATGGCGTCAGGGGAGGGGCTCTGGGTCATTCTGTGTCCAGGCCCCTATGTTGGCAGTGACTTAGACCTTGGAGGCTTGCCCAGGTGAGTTGTGGTCTGAACGTCCCTGGGTAGGAAGCATTTTCACAGGGCTTTACTTCTGTACACATTTAGAAAATCTGCACCATTTTGTTTATTGATGGCAGGTACTGACAGGTATGGTTTTGAGTCTGGCTGTTTTTCTCTTAGTTAATACATTCAAAGTTTATACAGGTTGCAGCGGGACCATCTGTCAGTGCTGTTTTTCTTTTCCTAGCTGAGGACTTTCCAGTGGGAGCAGGCTCTCCATCTCTCATACACACAAACACAAGCACTTCTAAACAGCCATGCAACCATCTTTTTCCAGAACAGAGGTTAATAAAATTTTCCTGCAAAAGGCCAGCTAGTGATCCCAGCTGAAGTGGGAGGATTGTCACAAATTTGGGGCCATCCTGGGCTACATCCTGAGCATTAGGCTAGTCAGTGCTACATAGATAACAAGATTTGCATACAAAGTCCAGAGAGAAAATATTTCAGGCTTTCTGAGACACAGGCAGCCTCTGAAGTTAGCCTGCAAACTGCAGTGAAAATATATAAACAACTGGTACAGTTGTGCCAACAAAACTATTTAATAAATAGACAGCAGGTCTGACTTGGCTTTTTGGGTGTAGTTTGGTGAACTCCGCCTTGGAATATAGTTACAAAGTCCTCCCCCCCGCGCCCCACCCCTCTCTCCCCACGCATCTTGGGGGTGCTGGGGTGTTTTTAATTTAAACTGGACCCCATTTTAATTTAAAGCTGGACCCCATTCTCACATCTCACTGTTCTGTGTGGCCATGCGCATGTGGGCTGTGTTTTAGATCTCCTTTGTGGGAACATTGCTTATGACTGGTTCCCATCCTGAGTCTGAATCTTACCTTTTCAATCATAGCTGGTTACTCAAGGATCCAAAAATGAAGCTGCGGACAACTTACAAGGGATTCACTGGAGCCGTGAATAAGTATTTCGACCATCTGATTCCCAGGATCGCACCATTCCAGGTAAAACCTAATCCTCATCTCTGCCAGTAAGGAAAGTGATTGCCAGATCGATTTCCTGGTTAGTGTTTGCCACTTTCTGTGCTCTGAGAAGCAGGGAGCATATGCTGGCTACTGTGTAATAGTAGCCAGGAATTCCAGTTACTTAGTTAACAAAGCTTGTGGCTTTAGACTTTAATTGGGCATGATGGTACGTGCTCTAATCCCAGCCTCTGGCAGGAGATGTGAAAGATCCAGCCTAGGCTACATACTGAGATCTTGTCTCAGAGTGGGGGCAGGGTCTGGATTTAACTACTACTCCTCTTTCGCCTTTCCACACCACCTGCTCAACTCTGGTCTGCTCTTCCACTGTCAGGACACTTGGAAGAACGTTCTGTGCCTTTGCTTTGACCTGTTGGTTATTAGCTTGCACTCAGAATTACCAGAAGTTAGAATTAGTGATGATTCTCTAAGCTTTCACAGGCAGCTACATGCCAGTGCATCACTAACAGTGGTTTAGGGGAGTCCCGTTGTAGAGGTCATGGTCCCTCAAACAATTCGGGAACATGAAAAGGAGTACAGCCAAATGGTGTCTGACTTATAGTAGTTGAGATAAGGGCATTTGACCTGATAACAGTATGAAAGCTTAAGTCTTTTAAAAATTACGTCTGCCTATCTATCTATCTCTATCTATCTATCTATCTATCTATCTATCTATCTATCTATCTATCTACCTATATCTATGTATGTATCTATCTTCTATCTATATCTCTGTATGTATGTATCTACCTATTATCTATGTGTGTATGTATGTAACATGAATCTTAAAAGGTCTTATTTATAAAAAACAAAACAAAACCCAGAACCAGACTGTAGATGTAACCAGCCGTCTTATTAAAATAAGAAACACAGAACCAATGTAAAAGAGAAAGCCGAGAGGTCAGAGCTCAGAGCTAAAATCTTACCTCCTGCAATGCTCCTAGCTTCCCCAAAAGAGAGCTACTTCCTGTGCGTCTGTCTTTAAATAGTCTTTCTGTTCTGCCTTCTCGTTGGTTGTAAACCAAACACATGACTGCCTCGTC